AAAGAAAAAAAAGATAAAAATCAAAAGTTTTTGGAGTTGCAACGAAGGGAAAAAAAAAAAAGAACCGGGGGAAAGTTTTTTGGCGGATTGGCGTTAAAAAAAAAAAACAAAACGCCAGTTGTCTCTTGTTTTAAAATTAATAGCCATCGTATTTTCTCGTTTCAGCGATAAATGACAATAACAATCCTTCTGACTATATCAGACTCTTCTCTGATGAAAACAATGATGACGACAGCGTGCTCTGTGTTACTAAGTCTAGAGTGTCCGTCATTTCGGTTTTAATTTTTTTGGGCGACAACACAGATTAGCGCAGCGCCTCCTGTTATGGGGAAGTATTACGCCTCGCACACGCGCAGATGTAGCGCTCAAGTCGGCGTCGGTATTGGTGGTTCGGCAGGCATTTTTTTGGACCGAAACCGGGGAAGACGGGAGCTGACTGATCAGTCCGACGCTTTTCTGCCGACAGATCGCCGTCGGGTTGGTGTGTCTGGCCTTTAGTGTACGCCAATGTCTAGAACAGTTTCAGCCGCTTTATCTCGCCTTCCAGACAGATGATTCGGACAGGAACCTAAGCTGTTATTATCCATTTGTTGCTTCTTTCACTAGCTACCAGACTTTTACTGTCTCAACAGCTGGCTGACAAGCTGGCCTCAACTGTTAGCTTGTTTGTGTTATTGTGGTCAAGTTTATTGGCCTTCAAAGAGAAGACGAATGTTGAAGATGGTGCAGGAAACGAGAGAGGAGAAGAGAGGAGAGAGGAGAGAGGAGAGAGAGAGAGAGGGCCACAGGTCGGAGTCGAACCAATGGTCGCTGCAGTACGAACTCTGCCTCACACTGGGCACCAGTTCTACCAGGTGAGCTCTCCGGGAACCCCGACGCTTCCCATCCGAAAGTATCAACACAAAAGTTCCTTGTAGAGGCTTTTAGTTTAATACTTGAGTACTGATGTTACGTTCCTATAGAAACAATAACAGCTGATTTGACCTTAAATTACTATAAATTCCTGTTGTACAAACTGCGTTGTTATTCCCCAGCTGATGTTGCTTTCTGCCGACGTTCCTCCAGCTGTAGCAGCCCATTATTTCCTCCTTTGTTGTTGATTTGTCCTGACTGCCCTGAACCTTTCGTACCTGCAGTTGTGCAATAGATCCCACGGTGACATTTGAAACACCGACCTGTCCCTGCCCTCATATTTACTGCGATATATCCGAGTAGCTTTCTCTGTTAACAGCGGTTTACATTAGGCTTTTACAGCCTCTTGTCATTTGTGCAAGTGGGATGATGTTGAAATGTCAGTGATGATGAGTCACTCATTTTCAAAACAAACCCCAAAAATGCACTTTTAATAAGTTGTGTGGCCTCAGCTGTCAGGCTGAAATAAATATCTGCTTTACAACTGGAGTGTGTGCGGATGAGGGCAGATACAACATTGTGAATATGGCACTCTACGTTTTACATATTATCTTCAATATGTGCCTTTATTACCTCATTACTACAAGCCTTTCTGTCCCTGTACGACACAACCAGAGTCCATTTCATCCTTAAAGCCACATTACTGATGTGGCTGAAACCAGACTGAGAGTCAGTGATTAAAGCAGCTGTATTTCACCCATTAGTGCCCAAAGACTGTATTCAGTGTGATATATTCTGATTGGTCTGAAGTAGATAATGCTGCGTCCAGTTATTGGTGTGAGTAGATTACAGTCCACCTCAACCAACTACTGCTTGTACATGAATGCAGGAGTCAGAATAATCTAATGATATAATAGGACAAAGGTCTATTAACATTTACGTTTGAACAACCTTTATGAATTCAATTTAAGACTTATTTTAGGTCCATACCAAAAGCAAAGTACTAAGCATATGAAGGAAATCAGTATTTGTTCCATGTTTTTTATATTGCACTTTAAAGTAAAACGATGGTTTTTTTCAGCGTGGCTAAAATACAGTTTTAGAGCGTGTCGGTCCATCGCTGGAGCTTCTTTGCTGCCCAGTCGGCTTTTTCCCTCCTCATATAGTCTGATATCCTGCAGAGCGCCACAATAATGAACATTAATGCGCACACACACTGAATAAGAACACAGCTCATACAACCTGGTTCCTGTTCACGTCATTCATTTCTTTGTCTTTAAGAAGACGATAAACAGAGAAAGAGCATTTTAATAAGAACAGGATAGAACAGCAGCTCCTGGTGTTTAACATCATTACCACATGTTTAAAGGTTGATTCCAGATGTTTTATGACCATAATCTGACATCTGCTGTGACATTTGAGTAGCTAATATGTCTAAAGGGAACAAGGAGCTTGATTTTATACAAATAAATAAATATATATATATATATATGTATAGAGAGAGAGAGAGGATCTTTAGGTTTGTTGATCTCTAATCACTTTTTATCTATTTGGATACGTTTTAGATATTTTGCTGAGTTGCTCAGTCGCCATTATACCTGAGAGCAGCCAATCCAGGTACTTTGAGTCAAGCTCCGCCCACTTTTGGGTGAAAACAGATCCTCTAATTTGACTGGCAGTTCTGACTGGCAAACTCAGAGGTCTTTGCCAGTTTAATGACATTAAATAAGAATACTGTATTGCTTTTTAGCTGTTAGGAGCATGAATCAAGAAAAATTAAGAAATAGTTATTGATGAGTGTCCTGACATATACAACTACCTTAATGAATCTCATATTTCTGCCGTCTGTTTCTGTCATTCAGTCGTTTTATCTCCACTTCCTGTGACTTTCTGCTGTTTCCAAGGTTTCTTATTAGAAGGTAGGGTCAGCATTATCAGTTTTATCGTTCACCCTCTGCTTCCACACTGTCAACACCCAAACTCCATTCAAAAAACGTCTATTTTTAAGGAAGTTTAAACCTTTATTCCTCTTCAATCTACAGACAACAATCGCTCACATTGACTCAGGAACATCATTACTAACCTGTGAGGAAGAGTTGGACACAGACCACACTCACTGACTGTCTGGTCATTAATAACTCGTGAGGAAGAGTTGGACAAGCACAACTCACTGACTGTCAGGGTCATATTTTTATTCTACTGACTCTTTGGGGATGTAAAGACGTCGTTTCTCATCTGAAACCCTTTTTCAGGTTTATCATGTCTCTCTCTATGTTGTTTGTTGTCGTTGTTGTTGTTGTTGTTGTTGGTCAAAATGAATGAGGTTCTGTGTGTCTATAACACACTGTACGTTCCTGAATATGATATGGATAATCTGAAAGGGTTATTATTACTATATCGATGTCATTTTCTATATAAATCTTAAAGCATTACTTTACATTTTATTATGAATGATTGCAGCCTTATTCTGCTTTCTGTTGTTGTCTTCTGCCCATTCCTACAAATAAACAATGTTGTATCTTATAATAATTGTCAACTAACGTCTCAAACAAATATCTAAACAAACTAAAAGCGACCTTTATTACAAGGAAGAGCTCAGAAACTTCAGTAAATGTGTGAATAACTATCGACTACCTGTTTGCTTCAGAATCTTTAAAATCCTTTTATTGGTTCATAAAACTCTAAATGTTCTCAGTCCTGCTTATTTATTTATTTATTTATAATCAATCTATTGAGTTTTATTATTTATTATTAAAGCTTTAATATGTTGCTGCCTCATAAAGTCAGATTGATTGACTGATAATGAGGAACAGCAGGATTTTACTGTTGTTGTTTGTTGTTCTTACAGTCTTTAGGTTTCAATGTCTGTACTGAAGTATTTATATCAAATTCTTCTGGTTCTTTCCTGTTAACTATTGTTGGTATCAGCTAGTTTCCCAGTAAATTAAGGGGATGAGCAGTTGTTGTATAATAAAGAGCAAAAAGTTCAAGATTTCCTCAGAAAAGACTCAAATTAAAAGTGAGGGAATCATCCTGTACCTTCACAATAAAGTGTTTGATTATAGATAATGCAGATGCTTTTACTGTGAAGGCGTGGCTGTAGTCTCTCTGCAGTCTCATTATGAGTCCGTCAGTCACTGCGGAGCTTCATTTTCGTTCCACGCTGATTATTCTGTCAGACAGACGCAGATGTTTCCCTCAGAGTCAGGTTGATTCCTCGAGACAGGAAGTGAACTCAAACCTTCCTCTTCAGTCTGGACTCTAACTGCTTTTAGACATTTACTCAGTTATATTCTAGTGTTTTCTATTCATTGTTCATTATTTATTATGTTATTTTAACTATTTCTTTACATAATATCTTTAATATTTATTTATTTCTGCCTGCTGACGGGTCATAAGTAGACATTGATATAATCCAACGTATTAACTTATATTTAGTTTCTATTACAGCTTTAATTAATCACTATTGTTCTGACTGTAAAATGTATTTTAGTGTCAGTTTTATTGTCTTTATTCTGTATTATTATGTAAATCATCTGTGAGCTGCACTAAACTGTACGAAAGGTGCTGTACAAATAAAGTTTAATTGATTGGAGTTTTTGTGTCCTTTGAAATAAAATCAGGAACAGGAAACTCATTTTTGATCAGCTGGCGCCCTCTGCTGGTCAGCAATCAACACTTTTCTTCTTCTTTGGTTTCCATCAGTGATATTCAATATTCAACATCAACAACAACATGACACATTTTGTTAGCAAAAGGCTCTAATCGTGCCAAAACATTTAAAATACGCAACAAAAGCAAATTTTGCCTTCAAACAACACAACTTGCAAACAAGTGTATGAGCTCTTCCAACCAACCATTACACAGTGGACAACAAAATACTAAATACAGCACATACAGTGCACCATTGCTCATCATTGTAGCCGATTACTGTATGTAGCTTTCATGCCAGTGCCATTTTTGTCAATTTGCCTTCCTTGCTAAGAATTGGATCAACAGAATCAAAATCTTGATGCAAATTTTATTGATTGGCATTGATTCTTTTTTTCAAACCTGTGCTGAAAACTGAATACTACATATTACACAAAATACATGTAAACCGAATAAGATCTATTAGACTAAAGTATAAAATCCTTTTACTGCAGAGTCATAAGAAATAGCCACTATTGATACCAGTCTCTTCTGTCTTGATGTGGGGCACATGGCCTCATCTGTCAGGGATGGTGACCATGACTTCCAGAACGCAGACTAAAGTGGAATTTCAAATAAAAGGATTATTGAAAGGCAACAAACAAAGTGTTTTAAAGTGGCAGAGATCCCAGATGTGACAGAGAGTGGGAAGTGGGTTCCGGACTCCAGTGCTCTGGGTTTGCGGTGCTGGCAGTGGAACTGGGTCCAGGATCAGGGGTGAGATGGTCTGAGACTACAGGGAAAAAACAACAAGTAGTCAGAGATATTTCAGAGTCGAGAAAGTTCTAGGTTGGCTGCGAGTGTTCTCATACTAAATGATTCCACGATCCGGCGGGACTGAAGGTCGGCCTGGCTTAAGAAGGTGAGTTGATGGTGATGAGGCAACAGGATTGCTGAGTAGTGTGATGAGCCAACAGTGTGGAGGCAGGAGCTCAGCGGCAACGTCATGAAGTGGTATTCAGGAATGTTTATGAGGCGCTCGGTGTTGTATGGGCCAATAGTGGGGATATGGCATAGGACACACCAATCATTGGAGATGGCAGCACACCATGGTGTGTGTATGTGGCTCCCCTCTGTCCGGAACAGTGATAGTGCCCGTGTATCCAATGAGGTTCCTTCCACGATCCTCTCACTTTGACCAGAGATCGAAAGCCCCGGGGGGGCCCCCCCCCTTCATCAACATAATGAAGACCATATGTGCCCCCTTAGTCGTTCAAGCTCCATCTATTGCTCTAAGTAACAAAAAGGCAAATGACAATGAAAAGTGACTCCAGTTGACTTCGAACTGCATGTATATGACAAGGCCTTACAGTATACGCTGTAGTAACCGTGTCTCCTGCCCTCCACTATTTGGCATCTGACCTCCTTCACAACGTCAGAGTTCCTTTGAAATGGACGACTGCTATACGGAGCTGCTTATGCGCCCCACTGATGGTTCTTTCTTAGGATCGCGGTCAGTGGTGATCCACGCTCATGTTGGTGAATGGTTCGCTAAACATGCCCTGATCTGCGATCACTGCTGGCCTGATTTCACGCAGCCTTATCGGCATTGTTTGCCACAACCATGTTCAAACGGCTGCTCCTGCTCAGCACTACACCAATCTCCCTCCTACCCACCAGAGAACGTACCGCCTGTTGGAAGTTCTATAACAAGAATAACATCGTATGGGAATGAGAACAATTACATAAAGTATATCACGTGAAGGATATTTCTGGTATATACTGTAACAAGCACATTACAATGTTTTCGCTGTCAAAAATTCTGACCAATGGATGCACACCAGGTTTTCTGTTTAGAACCAGGTAGGTTAGGGTTAGGTAATAACACCTCCATCTTGCACTCGTACTCCCTCTCCTCTGACCCCTTTACCTCTTACTCTCCACTCTCATCCGGCCTTAGACGTCTTCCATCCATGTTGGCAAATAACAACACAGACCTGCACCTCTGTTACAGTTTTTTTCTCTACATTGCTAAAACACAAACTTTGCAGACAAGGCTGCGATTTTACTCAACCAATAC